GGCGAATGATGTAGGGCTACATGTCTAGACTGGAATAAACTGACCACATCTTGTATTTACATAATGGATGGTAATGGGAGGAAGAGGGAAATTCTGTCCAGTGGGTTTAACTGCTCACTGCATCGTTTTCCTTTGATAGATCTGTTGCACACAGGTCTTTGAGAGAAGTAGCTACTGTGTAGGTGAATTAAATGTGATTGGTAGCTGTATCCAGCTGGGAAGACAGCATATGTCTTGCCAATTCCACATTGATTTCAAGGCAGACATCGCAAACTTTATCGACTCATTTCCCTGATGTAATGAAGGGGCTCTGGAGAAACTGAACATGAAGTTACATACGAAAACTCATTAAATCCAGTCGATGGATGTGAGCATCACTGCCTGCATACAAGATATTGCCTTTGGTCTCTCATTATATAGACAATGTCCTTTTATGCTCCACCAGATTAGGTCCTTTGCATGATCAGAAAAATCACGTGAGTTCAGTCATCTGGCCACACATCAATATGCTGCCGAATGACCCCACAGACTAATTACAGTTTGCATAAACAGGGCGACAAATGAATTGTAAATAACTGTCACTTGAAAGGTTCAGCCACTTAATTGTTTCACAATTACAGTTCAGTTTTGGAATTAAAATCACACAAATGCAGTGAATATTTGCCCATGACACTGTGACTGTCATTGTCTTTACTTTGAAAATGCAAAAGGTCAAGGATTCAAGGATTATGGATTTATAGTGGGTAGTGGGTAATACCCTGAAAGCTGATTGTGGCCGCCTCAGGCAGGCGTGGCTGTCTGTCATTGCCAGTAAATGAAATTGATTAGGTGAGACTGCTGCTCTGTGGTCCCGTCTATCTCCTGCTCTGGACCCTAGCCGTATTGCCCCACACCCCCACCCACCCCGCATGTTCCACCAAATGACTGAGACTGCTTGACCTCTCAGAAATCTGACCCTGAGGCTCCTTGCTGCTCCCCCAGGCACCTGCCAACCTTTCACCCCTTCACTGGGTGAGCATCTGGAAGGTGAGGAGGGACAGACGAGGAGGCCAGGGTGGACTGTTGCAAAGTATTGACATGGTAACAGATAGGACTATGAAGTTGTCAGACTTCAGAGACATGGTCGGACTGTTTTTTTCTTCTCACAGATCAAATACCAACTCCCCCTCCTTCACCTCATATTCTGTGTATGTCTGTTGGTATCTGTTGTTACATGTCGTTCTCTTTTTCTTTCTCTTTCTGTCTTTATTTTTATCTTTCCCTCTGTCTTTTATTTCCTTCTTTAACTGTACACACAGATCATGCAAGCTATGATGTATGCACAGCTGGTCTTGACAGAGCCGTCCAGGAAACGTGTGGTTTACAGATCCCCTGTTGACACACTGATTTGACTAGCCTTTCACTTTTTAGAGACCTGGAATTTTAACTCTGGAGGGGCTATTGAGGTCCGACTCAGCATGTTTGACCACGGTGGAAAACCACTCAAAATATGCTGTGTCCTGACTGACTGATTTACTGAATGGATATGTCACATAATACATAAAGCCCAATCTAAAATCATGGTTTTCTAACCACACGTGCAATGGTGCCACACCTGCTCACACCATTTGCTACAACGAATTTTATATCATTAGTCTCACTAAAATGCTATCCCACACCTTGGTTTTATGGAAACAATAATATCCTAGCTGTTAAGTTACAGGCCGAGTGTAAAGACATATAACTGAAGTTAAGCCAGCCTGAAAGTTACACCTTAGGGCCAAAAGCTATGTAATATAGTTCGGTCCACTTCACACACGATCCAAAAGACAGGATTTTAATGGTTCAAACCAGTGAACTGTTACTTCGGGTTCAAAATGATATCATCTTTAGAGGATAGGATCCCGACATTTTGGGTTTCAGACTGTAATTCAGCTTGCAATAACTATTATTTTTTGGCCACTTGGAGGCAGTGGAAACAAGTGGTGAACACAACACTGTCATATACCTGTTAGGTTGACATTGTGAACTTGTATAGCTGCTTATTTACACAGTCAGCGGTTACAGAGCCACATTCATATGTGTTTCTGGCTTTTTTAGCTCTGCCAACTCCTCGGGGAAATCTGTATAGTTTCCCCCATTTACAGTCTTTATGCTAAGCTAAGGTACCCAGCAGAACCATGCGAGAGTTGTGTAAATCTTCTCGTCTATTATTAAGAAAGCTAACTAAAGCTAGACAAAATGTCCTAAAACTACTCCTATAATGTAGCGTTTGATATCACATGGCACTATAATTGTCCAGTTTTGCGCTGTATGTAGTTTGATTAATGCATCAAACTACACAATCATTACAAAATACTCATTGCATTAATAAACAGAGAAAATGCAGTACACAAATCCAATGGAGTAGGACATGCCACTGGAGTGTAAATGTTAAACTGAATTAGCCCTGTGTCTTCTCTCGCTATCGCAGTGCACTAGGTTACAGTATGTGGCCATATGGGCTCTGTCTAGCATTACTGTCACCCCTCATTTATTATAGTGAGGGAAGATGGCCCCGCTATGCCCCTCAAATCCTCTTAGCCAACATTTAGCTGATTGATTTTTTCCCCTTCTTCCTCTATTCAGATTATCAATGTGATAAGAGCAGGAAGTTGTATATTATTAATGCTATGCAGTCTCATGGGTGGATGGATGAACGAGAAAGACAAACATTAATGTTTCAGCAGTGGCCACGTCTGGAAGAATAATATCAAGGCAATGTTATTGAATTTAAAGGCAGAGCAAACTGAGTAAAATAAATGAATGATATGAATGTGATTCAATCCCTTCAGCAAATAACCTGTTACATATGGAGAGGGAGTGTATGATCAGTGAAATTAGAGTCATTGAGGTTTGCGCTTATGAAGATTAAGAATTAATCTGCTTCTTCAATGAAATAAAAATTCCACAGTCATAAAGAGAAGGTAGCAGCTGTCAGAAATTGAGCTTGCAGCACAAACACGTTCATGTCTCTTTTTTTATTTCACCCCCTGCCCACTTAATTCCTCCTGCAGGCCTCCATCACAGAGATCCACGTTAATGGTTTTGACTCAGCAGAATAGTATAAGCAGGTTCCCCATAAACAATGTATTCCACTTCAGGCTATAGAAACCACAAAGCAGGTTCAACAAACAAATCGGGTCTTTTGAACATGTGGTTTAGCTTCATGTTGTTTAAGACAGTTGGGCTAGTGGATCCAAACAGACTCTGTCCTATGTGTTCTCCAGATGGCACCGCACACTGTCTCTCACAGATTGTATATAGCTCTGAGATCCTTCATGAGTTCAGATGATTCCCTCCCCCCATTCTCTCCCTCTGAACTATACTAAATGATGATCGTGGAGATTATGTATTGGTAATTCCTGCCAGGTCTTTAAAAGAATGCCCATGCTGTGTGCTTAATACTCAGTGGAGGGATTATGCAGACCCCTACATGTGGTGTTGTGGCTGCATACCTCCAGTCAGACTAAACCCAATCTGTTACAGATTTGGACTAAAGAAGAGAGGTGCAGCAAGCACAAGGGGGTGGGTGTAGGGCTGTGTGGTGCTGTATTCATGCTTTACTGTACATTCCACTTCTTCTATATCATGGGGGATCAGAGCTAAACCTCCCTTTGGAGGCAGTATTTTTATCTGTGTGTATTAGGACGTTAAAAAAGAATCTTGGCTTGTGTCAAGGCTGTGCGCTTTATTATTTTTTCTCTCAATTCTCTTTTTTTTTCAACAATTTTATTTTCCCTTCGTGGTTGAGGCAAAACCCAAATCCCCCTACAGTTTCTCCTTGAATGTGGGTCCAATTAAACACACATGTGGATTTTCATATTGAAGCTCATAAAAGGTAAACGCCAACGATTTACATTACATTTACATAAGGAATGCAAAGTACCTTCACATGTGAGGTGTTAATATCTCTATCAAAAGCAGATGGTCATCATCATTCATTACACTCAGTCAAGGTGTTTCATTGAGCAAGAATCTCATAGTCAGGCATGATTTCTGATTTGTGTGAAATTCCATAATCCTATCAGGAAACTCCAAAAAGGGGTCTGCTGAATCTGTTTTCTATTTTCAACTGTGATTAGCCAATAGGTGGCGTCCTTTGCACTTTACAAGACTATGTTGTGTTATATTAAGTATATCAGAGGCCATGTAGGACTAAAGGACAAGTATTTTATCTCTGTCATTATGTGATTTCTTTATTGCATGTGTATAAACAATAAAGTTTGATTTACTGGTTCCTATACAGCCCTTTGTACACATTAATCTATACATAGATGTAAAAGACCATTTGGCAGTAAATGCTGTTCTGTAGAGTTCAAAACTTGGCGTGAGTTGCCTAGTTTCACTTTATGATGGTTGTCCAGATCAGCCAACATGTGTAAAGGTTTGTGTGCTGTTATAGTAATAATTTATTATCATGGCTATCAGTTAAGTGTGGCCATCCATATAGGTTATAGATAAAAGTGTAAATTTAAGGAATGTGCTGTAAGCAAATACAGACACTCTACGGTTAATTGGGAAGGTAATAAAAAAAAAGGCAGGTGATATATATTTTAAAGATCCATAAAAATATGAGATCCATAAAAGCAAACTGTAGTTTTGGAAGGAGATGTGGAAAAGGATGCCAATTTTTAACAGCACGTTTGCCAATATCCTATAACAAAGGACTATTTGTATGAAAAATTGGTCCAATGACTCATCTTTCCAATTAAAAATATTCTGATCCTTCAATAGCTGCAGTGTGTTGGAGATGTCTCTGGTGTTCTGCTTATGTCTTGCTGCACCCTAGTGGTGAAACAAGGGTAAAGATTCATCCTCACAGTGAAGTAATTACGAACATTTCAAAACCTGGATCAACCAAAATTTTAACAGAAACAACAATAAAAGGAAACAGAAGGTGTTTTTGTAATTTAAACAATTAGCATTTATTCAGTGTTTATTTGCTTAATTCCTTTTTCTGTTGCAAACATTCTGCCAGCAGGTGAAGTTTACATAAATTTAATCTGCAAATCGTTTTATAAGAAGCTCATTAACTTACAATCAAGCAAGGTTAAAAGAAATCGTAACTATTGTTTGCGAGGAAAACAACTTTTTACCGTCAGCCAATGAAGCAATGTCGTTATCAGTCAAACCACACACGTACCCATGCACATAGGAGAGTAAACACACACACCCACACACACAGACATCAGACTCATGTATTTGAAATACAAAATAGCAATGCACAAACAGAACTGTGGAAACTAGTGATTAACTGTGCAGCAGAGGTATAATTGGAGCTTCTAATTACAGTATTGCCTCATTGTTCCTCTCTACCTCTAATTTACCACATTTACATCCCAGAAAAACAATAACTTTGGTTGGGATAATAATGTGTGAATGACTATAAAGTGTTCACCGACAGCAAAAAAATCTTTGTTGTTAAACAGAGTTTAGCTGCAGATGCAATAAAATAGTTGAGGCCTCTTTTTTTTTCAATCACATAATGTTCATTTCTCTAAAACATGAGCTTAAGATTTTAACATCAAGGACATGAAGTGACAGAATAAAAGCTTCTACAGGAAGGACAACACGGTGGTGCTGTATCTACATTAGCTTTATAAATGTATGCAATATAGCCTGGCTACAAGTGCAAGCATCAAAGATATAATTACATACGGTTTTGTAAGTGCTGGATGTACCAGACACTACTTAAGCTATAATTCTTGCAAAACTGCATATAACAAAAATGTAAAAAACTTAATTACATTGCATATTTGTTGCTATAGAAACATTTTCTTATATAAAGAAAATTAAATACAAAACAAAATCGCTGAGATGTCTAACTTTTCGCTCTAGCTGAGTAAATACTTCACAATTACCAATTACATTCCAAATTACTATATGACCTCAGATCAGCCATCAGTTGTTATTTGAATTAGAGACACGGGTTTGGATCGTTACCCTTCTGACCGGAGTCTGATCTGCATTGCGATTGGCTACCAGCTCCTGCAGCTGCAGCGCCCCTCCTCCGATGAAACAGAAAGCCGGACACACGGGGCCAGAGCAATCTACATGACCTTCCCACAAAGGTCGCAGAGAGTGGGCATCATAGAAGGTGACGCGACCCTTCTCAAAGTCAAGGCACACCCCGAGCCGGGGCGGCAGCGGGTAGGTAAGACCTGTGGGTGAGGAGGGGCCATTGCTGATGGGGTCTCGGTTACTGTTCCCGTGGTGACTGTGGTGGTGGTAGCTGTGCTGTGGCAAGTAGATCTTACCCATCCCCATAGTGAGGAAGCAGAATGGCGGAGCAGAGTCCAAGGCATCCTCTGCCCCGCTGTCATGACCGCTGTCTGGGTCATAGCTACAGAGAGAACACAGTTTGATAAATGAGGATGAAAACAACTACTGTGGATGAATCATCTTTGCTTTTTCCACATTTTTATCTATTATCACATACAGTGGCAGATTAAATGTTTAGATCCTTTACTTGAGTAAAAATACCAATATAGCAATGTAAAAATACTCGAGTGCAATTAGGGGAAAGTCCTGATTTTAATATCCTAATTAAATAGAGGTACAGAAGTATTATTAGCAACATTTACTAAACTATCAAAAGCAAAAGAACTTGTATTTCTAAAAAATTGCCCCTGTGGCTGTTACAATTATATAAGACATTATTAGATTGTTAGCACTGATGCATTAATGTCTAAGCACCATTTAGTTGCTCGAGGTGGAGCTATTCTTATCTACTACAGATACTGTGGTCCAGCAGTTCCAAATCTGGAGGTCAGGCCCCCCTTTAAATATCACAAGATAAATCTAAGGGTTGTGAGATGATTACAGAGGTAGGAAAAAAGAAAAGAATATGTTTTGCGACACAACTGTATATTCTCTTTTTTTCACTTTGGACAAGATCTTTGGGCCTAAAATTGTTATTTAAACAACAATCTAAAACAATTAGAGTGTAAATCTGTCTTTGGTGGAACTGCTGACAACTTATAGACATTAACTTTACTTTATCCAATGTTTTTTATGCAAAATCCTAACCTAAAAACTAACTAACTAGTAACTGAAGTTGTCTAATAAATGTAGTGGATAAATGGAAATAGAAAAGTATTAATCTTGAAATTGTACTTAAGTACAGTGCTTGAGTAAATATAGTTGCTTTCCACCTTTTTTTAAATACTACAATTTATTTTTTACTACTATTACTCAATTGATTTCCGTTTCATTTTCCAGCTACTCACCGGGGACTGGCCATGTCTTGTGGAAGGTGAAACCATTCCTGTAGTTTGGATTCAAGACCAACTCCCACCTGTTCAAAACAGAAAAAAACAATCAATTTGTAATTGGGTAAACATTTATGTCGTAGCAAATCTTCACATTTAGCTTCTCTCTTTTCTCATATACGATTATTTAAAGTAAAGCAGAAATACAAGCATCTTTACGAGATTTCTCTGGAGACTTTACCCATACTACCAAATGAAACATAATTGTGAAAATAAGCCTGAAGTAGATCTGTGATCACTATGTTCAAAGGTTTCATAATTTCATAATGATATGATATATATAGTTATAGTTAAATAATTATAGTTGTGTAAACACAAATTTTAGGATATTAAGGTATGATTAGCAAAGTATGTGTATGTATACAATATAAACAAAAAAGTACACTCTGATAACCATGACATAATTCTTTGGAAACTTGTCATTTTCTTAGAAACAACCCAGTTTGCTGTCATTAACTGAGGCCAAAGGTTCACTATAAGGTGATTTTTTAAGTCATCTCTTTCTACAAACATATTTGTCTTCTTGATGAGATTTCTGTTTGTGCTTTTATGTTTTATACCTCCAGGCACCAATCAGGGTTTAGTAACATTTTAATGAATAAGTGATGGCAGTTGGGATGTTTGTTTATGTTGCCAACTGGCAAATTTGATAAAACCGCACCCACACAGTCCTAATGAAGCACATTAACTGTGCTCATTCTTACTGCACTCAGTATGCACTGATAGTATGTAGCATTCAGTACAATAAATATGTAGAAAGTACTACTTAAAGTATGTTACCTTCACCAAGTAAGATCCAGGCTCCACTGAGCATGCCCAATAGTGTCGTCCTTGTGTAATAGCCACGTCTCCTACCAGGAGGTCAGAGGTCAGGTGACACGAAGTGAGGGCATGGTCTGCGGCCTGCAGCAGAGAGAGACCGGGGACGCTGCGAGCACCACGCTGCTCTTTACTGACCACCAGCCGGTCGGCATGGAGACCCCAGCGAGAGTCCAGGTAGAAGTTGAGCACTGGGGGAACACAGGGAGAGACGACACAGTAGAGAAAAGGGAAAGGGAAGGGAGGGGAGAAGAAGTAGACGTGAGGGTAGATAGGGGAAGAAAGGGAGACAGGTGCATTCAAAAATGACATATAGGGGTTTTAGAAGCGACAGAAGAAGTTTGGGATGCAACAGCAGAAAAGTTTTACAGATTTACAGTCAGAAAGCAGAAAGGAGAAGAGAAATGAGGAAAATACAAAGCATTTGAGAGGAGAGACTGGGGGGGAGAGGAACAGAGAACAGGCATGCACCTCCTCCCACCAGCACTGAGAGAAAAGGACACTGATCTATAAATTGATGACTCAGGGAGTAAAATACAGAAGGTCACAAAGAAGCTCTGACTGTGGGTAGTGCAGATTTTTTCCAAAGGAGGTACAATTTACAGAGGGAACATTCACAATAGCAGGGAGGAAAAATAGCCTACAGGGACACAAGGAATTCACCAGTCACTCAACTCGACCATTAAAAAGCCCTGGATCTCAATCCGATCCATGTTGTTAAGCATCGCGTCTTAACAAACTGCAAACCTCATCAGTGCTCGGACAGATCTCGTTATAGAACAGGGGGCAGAGGGGTGAGTGGGTGTCTAGATGGGGGGGGGGAGTGGAAGAACAGAGGATGAATGGGATGGCCACAAAGAGAAAGATTATGTTGTATGGGGTGTAGAGGGGTGGTCAAGACATATGAGTGCACTTCTTACGTTCCGTAGGAGGCATGTAGGTTGGCAGCGTGGAAGTAGCGCAGAAGAAGATGACAAGTACAAAGCTGTGAAATGGAAATAATACACGAGAGAAGGATAAATAAATAAATAAATAAAAAAGTGGGGATGTGTTGAAAGTGGAGAAAGAGGTGGAGATTTTTGGAAAAAGAAAGATGGGAATGGGCAGAAAGGACAAAGAATGAATTATTAACTGCTCACCATGGTAACCATCCTAATGCTTTTATTGTGTCTGATAAATAATAGTAGGTGTGAAGAGATGAATGGCTCCTGGATGACAGCAACTGCAGCTTGCTGTGTGGATATAATGAGATTTTTTTGTAGCTGTCATACACTTTACACTTACACTAGAGTCTATAAGTCATTAACCAAAAACAGTAGAAAGACTCTCGCATAGTTGGGTGGAGGAAACAAAAAGAAATGAGACACTTTATGCAGGTGGGGGATGATCCTTCTGACATTCTGTTAGCACCGAACAAGTTAAAGGATAATCCCAGTTTACTGTGTAACTTTGTCATCTTTCCTTATAGCAAAAACAACATTGTAATCACAAAGTTAATGCATAGATATGAGAATACGCCTGCATTGCTAAAAAGAAGCCCAAACAGGCGAGTAACTTGGACTGTTGTAACCACACTATGCCCCACCCTGAGGATTTGATACCAGAGTTCATCAGAGCAACCTTTTTACAGTCATCAACAGTCCGTTGTAAATGCATTTGGCCATATTGTGTGGCCAGGAGAGGTACCTGAATGTTTATTTCATAATTATGAATCAAGGTGTGTCTGTTGTGTTTCTGTAAACCATTAAGTGTCTAAAATTCGAATTAACTCTGATGTTTACTTTAAAAGTTGTGTGTGGACCAAACTAACCTGGTGCAGGCGGGGTGTGGAGGTACACCTCCTCACTGTACTCCCCGTAGCCCGCCTTGTTGCAGCCTCTCACCCGCAGCACGTACACACTGTCCATCTCCAACCTGTCGATCACAGCGCTGCTCCCACTCACTTCATCCAGTCGCTGCCAACCCCAGCGGGCAGCGGCCAATCCACCTCTGATCCCACCTCTAGACGCTCCCCCTGGTACCACACCCCGACGGCGATACTCGACGGAGAAGTGCCAGGCGGATGCAGAGTCCTGGGGCAGTCGCCAGCACAGGAAGAGCTGGTCGTAGGCCAGAGTACGCTGGGTATCAATCACTGGAGCCAAAGGAGCTGTGATAAAAATGGTTTTAATGGGGAGTTTACGTCAATAACAAATTTAACATGTGATAGTTGTACTACTGTATTTACTTCTATAACTATAACGTTTGCTTACTACATTTCATGGCTTCATTAGAAAGTATAGGTTAGATTAAATAAAGCCATCAATAAGATTTCCTCTCCTTCTCCTCTTCACCCCTTTCCTTCTTTATCATGTTCACTTCCTCTATCTCCATCCCTACCCTTCCTCTCATTCACTCCCTTTCTCACCCTGGATGAAGTTCAACTCAGTCAGGAGTTTGAGTTCTTTGGAGACATCGAGCTGGAAGTGTCTGAAGGATGGATCCGCAGCCAGAGTGAAATGCTGCAGATTGTCAATTCCTTTGCTCAACCTGGTGCAGTGAAAAACAGGGAAATCAGTGTTAGAGAAAGAAAGGAGCAGTGTTTACACAATGATTTCTTTAAGATTGGTTGGAGCGGGGGGAGTTGAGACAGTTTGATGAAGAGGGAGGCGTGTATGATCATTTTTAAAAGATAAGGCTGGTGTTATTCTATGTTTTTCTTCCCACGAAAGGAGCAATACTCTCCCTACCGTGTCCGAATCACTCAGTCCCAATCCCATTCAATTTTACTTAAGAGTAGTTCCAAAACATTGCTAAGTATTAAGTAATTTCCTCCAACAGCTGGGCATTGTAGATTTTAGCAAATGTTACTCAAAGAGAAGTCAGTTATGAATTTCTTGGAGACTAGCTTCCAATTAATACTCATTTGGTACACCAGTGAGTATTTATGAGAGCAGGACAATGCGCTGTATGTGGGATTAACTCAAACTGAATGCCTGATGGCACGAATGTGGAACAACGACTAACTAAATTATTTTCTACTATAAGCTTGTTTGTTTTCTGCATGAACTTTAGGTGTGAGTAAAACTTGTTCTAATGCAATGAAAAGTTACTAACAAAGAAAGATAGAACTAGTCTATTCAATCAAGACAGAGAGTGGTGCCAAAGATGCCAAAGATGGAACAAATGGAAAACCTGTTATGAGTCTGGCGAGCAGCCTGCACAAAACAAGGCTGGTCTGTTTCTTTCAACAGCTCCTGGGTGAACGCCATGAGCCCTGCGTGTTCCATCAAGCTCCGTCTCTCCGCCACTTGAGAAGCCAACGCCTCGCCTCGTTTCTGCCGCGTCGACTCCAGAGCCTGGGTGAGCGAAGCATGGCGTTCGGCCAGAGCAGCCGTCAGATCCCTGATGCTCTGAGCCAGCTGCTCTCTGGCTGCCACGCTGTTTACCTGGTGATGAATAACACAGGTTTTAGCATGTGGAAACACCGAGCTGATGCTAGGTACCTTTTTTGTCAGCTTTATTCACTGGGCCTTTTATATTATATATTTATAATAGTTTTACCACAACAACAAGTGCTTAAAGGACATAAAGTATAAAAATCTAACATTTTAAAAATTGTCTATAACTCCTCCTGTGAAGGAGATAAGTAATTACAATATAACACATTTGTAATTATATTAGGTACAGTATTAAATAAATACTAGAAATAGAATATTTAATTAATAAATAATTAAATATTCATTTAATATGTATTAATTATATGTATTTATACAACATTTATTTATGCATAAAAACATCTTCTTGACAACTGACCAAATCCAATCAGCTGATGAAGGCCATGAGATGCAGCTGAAAGCTCCAAGAGGAATCTAGTAATTGTCTTTTTAAAACATTTATAAAACAGCTTTCAACTGGCCTTCAAATTATTTGTTAATGTGTAAAAACATATAATCTTCCAACACACTCTAAGGATGATTAAACATACTGCAATGTTATACTCTGTTATCAATGCTTAATTAACTGTTTATACACCAGTTATGAATGTTTTAAAGCCTCATTCTTCATAAATCATTATTGAAAAATACAACGATAAATGTCCTTATATCTGCTACAACTACACTATTGTGTGTTAATGTATTAATTGTCCATATCCTTCTTAGAAATGGTAAATATGGGGACATTTTAAAAGGTCAATCTTGAGTCAAAGTGAGTGTGAGCAAACACAAGTTGGCTGTCTGTCAATGAAGCTGGTAAAAATCAACTGCTTTTTTTGTATTTAGCTGCTGACTGGTGTTAATTCCATGATCAGCAACATTTTGTCAGCCCAAAGTATTAATCACCTCAGTCTGAGTGATGGAACTCTCCAGCTGGGTAATCTGTCCCAGAACTGTGTCCTGGTTGGACAGAATGTAGTTCATCTCCTTTGTAATCTTCTCCTGTAAAATAAACAGCAAAAACAAATACAAACAACAAACACACACCAGCTTAATTGTTACGCACAGCCTTACATTGCTTGTCTTTTAGATATTGAAATGTCACTGCATCATTCCATTGTATAAAATATCAAATTAAATTACTCAAAAAGTACCAAGTATGCATGCTGTTGAGAAAACATAATCTAATTTCAAAATTGAGGTACCGTCTCTTAACATAAAAGTATTAGTTTGAATAAGTAGTGAACATAGTAATGTATGAATGACGAGCATAAAACAAAGAATTTTTCCTTAAAATGTTTGTAAACAGTAAGAATAAAATCCTTCACATTATTTATATGAACACTGATTTTAAGCTTATACGCACTAATGACAGCTGCAAAAACTCACAGTTTGAAGCCCCTATGATAAATTAAACATGATAAAGTACCCTCTGGGTGTCCTTAAAATGGAGGAAACATGATGCAGTGCCATATAGTTTGTCCTGTATGCTAGAAAATTAGTCTCTAATAGTTCCCCGTGTGTTTATCTTACTGAAGTGTAGTAGTTATACTTAATCTGAGTCAAAAAATACAATTATTCCAACTCATCATAAACCCATCACAACTTTCTTTGCACTGATGTTTTTTTATCTTTACATTTTAAATGTTAAATTGTGTTTGACAGAAACGCTATCCTGTATGTATTAAACCTTTTATTTTGCAGGAAATTTAGAGAAACCCAGAGCAGACAATGTCAGATTCAGATTCATACCTTCAGGGCTTGGTATGCGTGGGCCACTGGCAGGATTTTGTGTCCGGTGTGGATGCGGCGCAGTTTGCAAAGAGGGCAGAGGAGACGCTGGCAGGACCTACAGTAGAACTGCAGTTTCTCCTGGTCATGCTCCGGACAGGTCAGAACCTGAGGACGAAGAGCAAAATGAGCCAAACATTTTTATCTGGGGCAAGGGAGGAAGGGCAGATCATTATGAGGATGTGTTTATATACAGGGCCAGTCTTCTGTTTAGGCAAAGAAAGGATATTATCTTTACAACAGCAGTCAGTATCACCAAAAAGTTAATGTAAAGGTGTTTTTATTTAAATCTTAAATAAATGTATACACACATTTTTGTTCCTGTTTGTTGTTTCATCACTGCGGTTGCATGGTCAGAAAATAGATCGAACATGGCCTAAATCTGATCTGAAAATATCGCACTTTTGTGTTTCCAAAAAAATAAGATCTGTGTCACAAAAAAGTGCAATTTGCTTGCAATGTGAATGCAAATGCACAGTGTGACAATTTTACATGTACTGCTTTCTAATTATGCACCCTTTATAAGGGCTTTATACATTGTAGCTAATGGGTTTTATTATTTTAAATTAACTTTAAAGCTTTAAATCCAATTAGCTGCTTGTGGGTTGCCAGGTTGTGAATAATAATTCTCTTTCAGGATGACACTTTCTTGATATTTTTAGCAAGCTCTTTATTTAATTTTTTATTATAAAAACTTTTTAAAGACCGTTTAAAACTGAAGGCTTTATTTTTGGTTAAAAAGTGAGAAATCATACATAGAAAGGATCACAACACCAATCAAAAAGATTTTTTTCACAGCCTAGCAACCTAGCATTTATATGAGCCATTAGTTACGACTTATACATTCTCATACATTCTTTATAGTGATATTACAAAGTTTTAACATGTCATGACTTTTAAAATAATCTCTGTAAATACGTCAGTGTTGCAATGCTTACCTTTGGTCTGAAGTTCAGTGTTGGCTGGATATGTTCATGTTGTGCCCGTGGCGTCCCCCACGGGTGATAGAGCTTGAAACACTCATTACAGAAATTGGCTCTGCAGTCAGCGCAGCCCTTAGTGGCCTCAAGAGCTTGAGGAGGCTTACAGAACTGGCACATCACAGCCACACTGCCCAGACTCACTGTGTGTCTGTACCTGGTGGTGGTGTGGAGGGAGAGTAGGAAGAACAGAGAGAACACTCTTAACTTTTATCACAGTTGTAGTCAAAAGCATAAAGCAATTAGTGACATGAGCAAAAATTCTAATCAAAGCCAAATTAAGGGTTGTGAAGACTTTGTGAGCGAGTGAGACAAATAGGAGATAGATAAAGTGAACACAAAGCTACTAGATAATGGAAGCACACAGTCAGCCACAGTAGTAGATACAGTATGTTGCAGTGCATGCTCTGCAGGATTCTTCAACAGCTCAGCTGCTGCTGAATGATTACAATCAGCATTGGACATGTTCCCACACCTTCTGTTTGTCAGGCCCAAGTCATCTACATTTGGCCCCAAATCTCAGAATCACAGAAGGACAATATCTTTATGTGGGATTTTGGTGCATATCTTTGCATTTTTTAATTGTTTTGGCTGAAGAGTGTGCGCATAAGTGCGTGTGCATGTGTGTGTGGTACCTACCTCTCCACTATACGCTCCAGGGTGAGGTTGCGCAGACAGTCAGTAAGGCCCTTCTCTCCCAGCTCCACATCTCGGCCGCAGGGGACACAGGGGAACATCATCACCAGGGGTGGGCCCTCCTTACGGCGTCGCCCTGGATACGTCCCATATCCCGGAGACCGGGGCATAGATGGCGAAGGCGGGTGGGGACCTCAAACCAAGAAGAAAGGCCAGTTATTAGCAGGGGGAGACGTGTATGGGAGAGGATCTGCCTTCCCAACATAAATCAGATGTAATCACATGGCTTCTGTTTCCTTTTCACAGCATGTACAAAAAAAACTCCATATAATCTTAAAGAAGAATCTTTTAATAACACAAAACATAGATTGTCCCCTTCTCTCCCCCCTAAACAGATTCAATTGATATGAAGAAACTATTCCAAACCTGCCCGCAGCACACGGTCAATAGGTCGCTGCTCAGCTTTAGGTGTAGGCCTGCGGGCCTGGCGGGGTGAGCGGGTGTTGGGTGTGGAGGCTGGGGAGTTTGGCTCGGGTGGAAGATCTGGAAGCGGGTAGCCGTTTGCGACTAAGACCTCCGAGGCACACATGAGGCAGACACTGTGCTGGCATGGCAGGACCACGGGCTGTTTGACAATGTCCTTACACACAGGACAATGCAGCTCACTCTCCAGGCTCTTCATGTTAGACTGTCAAAGGCAAAAAAGTGACATTATTGCACCTTTCATGCAGAAAAATAGGTAGTATTCAGTATTTCCTAGCCTGGATTAGTTTGTATTAATATTATAACTCGCCGAGAGGAACATAGTTAAGCTTTAAAGGACCAGTGTGTGGGATTTAGTGCCATCTAGTGGAGAAGTCTCTGATTGCAACTGAAGACCGCTCGCATCTGTATTTGACTACCTGGGAATGAGAACAGGCTGTGAAGTGTGTACTCCACAGGTGATAATAGACTCATGAAAAGCTATCTATGAATATTATATTCCATTTCTGCCATCACATCCTCTTAAATGTTACACACTGGATCTTTAAAGGGATTAAAGAAAAGTCCTTACTATGAGAAATATAAACAAAACAAATGTATCCACAGTTTTAAACTGTTAAATTTTGTTTTAACACAAGCAACCATACAAGAACTTAATTTAGTCTAATATTTGCAACATTTTGATTTAAATCTGTTTAAGCTATGTTTCTGTACTTGTCAGTTTTGGACACTGTGCTATGGACACATTTCAGTCTGTACATAAAAAGTATAGTGGTTTTATACCCAGCCCTACTAGCAGGTGTACCACCGAGAAGATGCCGCATCATAAAGACATTGAATTTAGAGACAGGCTGGGCAATGTGAAGAGAAGTCCCTGACAGGCGACAGAGGACATCATTCTTGTTAAATATGGATAAAGACCAGGCATCAATTATTCAACCACTGCACAGAGTGAATCCCTTATATTGCAGCTCTGCATATGAGCACATGCTTAGCCAGGGACAGAGGGATGGTCCAGTATTTTTCTGCATCTTGACATAGATACTGAGGAGGGAGTACAGAGTGAGCCATGGTGCAATGGGGAGCAGGTTTTCATAGAAACACCCAGTGAATTACACATATAACACCGAGTGTAAGTCTTCAGCGTGGATACATCCGAGCTGAGGGTAAAAAGCTGCACCCCTGGAGTTGTCATGGTTCTGTTCAGAGACATGGATTTCAGAGAAAAGGACACACTTGCAGTTGTAGAAACCTGTGACCTCACAGCTACAGCCTCATAAATTATGGTTTAAAGGGACCTGTTCCTTTATCCATTTCCCTACACTGGGATGTGTGATAATCACTCAGTTATTGTGTTGAGTCAGTATTTGTCAGTCTGGCGGCACAGGCGGAGTATATTGCATTTGCAGTCATTTTGCTAGTCAGCATTGCCTGCTTTCGTTTACTTCACGGATGCCCTTGACAGACAACCTCGACCTACAGCCCAAACTGTTGCAGGGCCAGAGGCAGTGCACCGACATCACGGACACCATGAGTTGACTTCAAAACCAGGACAAGACTAACTGACTGACTGCTGCATAGGAGGTTTGGGGATTTTGTCACTGTGATATGATGTGATATGATGCAGCATCCAGACAGCTTATCACAGCACACCAAACACCACTGTTAAAGGCCACAGGGATGCAGAATCAGTGGGGATAATACACAGGTGATCTTATACAGTAAATTCCTGCATGTCCACTTGATTTTAATAAGGCTAAGAACACACACAATATTAAACTGGATGTCAATACTCTCACACACACAAGTTGATTGATAAAAGCAACATATTTGTTTACATATCAGATAAAACAATAAAGCTGCAGACACTTTCCCAGATGAGACTGAACTAGGCTGCTGCGAAAAAATGGACCCCTCATTGAGGCGTTACATTGGAATAATTGGATTTCTAAATAACCTACTTTCTTTCCCAGTACACCTCTGTCTCTCTGTGTCATTCTCCAATGTCAACTCCGGCCTGCCTTTCTCTCCTCCTTCTAGCAATTTAGCCTATCGCAATATGAGGCTTTTGTGCTTCCAGCCGGCTACATACAGCGAGATGGATTGTGCGCCTGTTGTATCCATTGCAAATAATCAGTGCGCACCACAGTTAAAGCTGAGCCCGGCGTGGTGAAGGCGTAAAACAGGCGATGCGACAGCGCATCCTTACCTTCACCTGGAATCTGGGCGCCATGGCAGTAGACTACGTGTATATTTCCAGCATCAAGGCAGCGCAAAAGAGGGGAGGGGTTTGAGGCATTGCATCGCGAGCAATGAGCCCCCCGCGCCGGTAAGATGGGGTCTGTGGGAAATTACTGTGGTGGCTCCTTCGACAGCATCTTAAATGTGTTTTGTGACTTGCGACCCTCAGACCCCCTGTCTGTCTGTCCACTATGGTCTAATGTAACCATCCCTGCAAATTACTTGTATGTTTTAACCCTATAACGGCAGATGCTACAAGCAGCACCCACACACACACTTTATTTCCTCCCTTGCCTCAGCAGCAGCATCAGCCAAAGGTCCTGCATCGCGTCTCCATGGAAACGACCATCCCGTGTGCCCAAAAAAAGAAACGTGTCATTTCTGTCTGCACCCACACCGTCATTGGATAATGCTTGAAACACCCTAATACATAAAAACAGAAGGAGACTATTTTCTTTCTAATTCTGAGGAGGAATTAAGCTCGACCCTGGTGTACCGAGGCATTTTAGGACCTCCATTAGCACCGAGGAAACATAACGAACCTTGGGCTATTGATTTTCCACAGAAAAGATTAAGAACAGCCAAGATGGCATCGGCTATAAACCATTCATTTCATTTTATTTCAACAACCTTTCATCTGAGTGCAGGAAGAAAATACAGCCTATGAAGGCCAGTTTTACAGAAATGGACGGGCAGGTGGAACATGGAGACCTGCCATCCAAGCTGTTATTTCGGTACTCCTCTTTAAAAATAGACTACAGTCTGTAGTCACCATAAAAATGTATAATAATTGTATACCTTATAGTTAATACTATAATAATAATATGCTAAGTTGATTATATATTCATGCAGCGATAAAACAAACAGACTACTCACACTGATACGAACCAATGCTTCCATCGTTGATGTGGCTGTTTTTAAATCCATCTCTGCCATTTTAAGAAAATAGCTACCCCCTGTTTTCATCATCTGGATATGAATCTCGATGTATCTTGGCCATACGCCATACGATACATATTAAGAACTCAAAAATGTGCAACCTTCAACATAATAAAAATCTCAAATTCCGCGTTTTCTATGATTTTTCGAAAGACACCCGATCTGACATTTTTACGCACGAAAAACAAGTAGGCTGATAATCATCACCTTCTGAGTATAAGAAAAATGAAGATACCGATTTCTAATTTTGTTGTTAACGTCAATGTATATCCACACTAACAGATGCCTGTGGCTTTTATTCCTCACCCAGACATCCCGCCCCCCACCCTTCCCATCCCGCACCGGATGCCTACAAATGATGTGGCACACAGCAGGGTGAAAGCTTGATGTCATAGGAGGGGGAAAACGGTCTGAACCATCGATTATAAAACAAATGTGAATCTCTAATCAGTTCGTGTTGTTTTCCTCGGGGATGTAGACCAACATCTTCGACCGCTTACAGGCAGTGGAGACGGTAAAGGCTTTATGAATATCCCTAAATGCATATGGCGGTACAGCTAATGGTTAATAAATGTCCCAGGTGAATGTGGAAATTATATTTGTCCACTATGTCTTAACTGTAAACCTATTAATGTAACTGTTAAGAGTTCTGCAATGTTGAGTAAAGTACCTCTTTATAGTGCACTTAGTGGAAGCACTTGTTATGCAGAATAGCTCCCTTGAAAGTGTTATGTTGTTATCATTTGTGATTATTACTACAGATAAAATGACATGTAAGCAACATTTTAATGCTGTATCTGGTGGGTGCCAATAAGAACTAAGAACTAATAAGAACTCACACAATATTATATGTTTTAATGCTGTATATAATCATCATCCTATAAAATGATGACATGGTTTGTATGTAAAGTCTTAAGCTGCACAGTAACCAGTAGGCCAACTTAAGCTGTCAAATAAATGTAGTGGAGGAAAGAGTACAATATTTCCCTCTACATGTAGTAGAGTGGCAGTAGTGTCTATAAATAGGCACTAAGGGGAAATGTAGTATTGTGAGAAAATGCACTAAGCAGTGGTGGGATGTAGCTAAGTACATTTACTCTAGTACTATCCTGAAGAACACTACTACTCCATTACTTCTCAGAGGCAAATATTTTTGCTCCAGTACATTTGTCTGACAGGTTTATTTTGCAGATTACAAAGGTTTGAACCATTCCTGTCCGGTGAAAACCACGTCTCTCCAAATTTGGTGATTTTGAATTAGAATGAGATGTTTATGGGTTTTCAACGAATAAAAAAATCCACTAAAACACATTCTGGATTATCTGGAAAATGCATCTTAAACATCTGCAGCAGTAAAATGTGATATATAACAATAAAACAAGTTTTTTATTTTTTCATTTGTGTCAAATATAAATGCAAAGCTCTGTGTATTGTTGTTATTGTTTTTTTGAGCCAACTATGACTTCTCTTTACTGCTTGTGAAACAACATTTTTCTTCTATGCCAGTAATTTGGCAACGCTTAGCCTGCAACGTCTTTTTATTGATGAATTGTGCATTCAGATGTTAGCATCAAGCTTTCATTCCTAATGAAATCAGAACTGACTTTCTTGGCTTAATGGAGTCAGTGGAAAAGACACCTGTCAGGCATCAAGTGTGAAGAAAACAGATTTTTCATTAATAGTATCCGTCATTCAAATGGCTGACTGAGAACACTTTCTGGATGGCACAGAAATAAAAAACCAGTTCAACTGAATGGAAAGACAAGACGACTTAAATATATTAAATACAATTATTTTATATCATTATTTAAAGTCCAGATGAAAGGAAAGTGCCCTTTTAACCCTTTAAAGCTGCAGGAGGTAACTTTTATAAAAAATAACTTTTTGTTGTACCTTACTTTAACAAGTAGTACATGAGACAGATAATCAGTTAAAAAAACATAATAAATCAGATTCCTCTGGCTCCTCCTTGTGCTCTTAATGGCATGTGCAAGAATCCACGTATACTTGTTCAGATGATGTTCATGGGAATGCCATTAGGAGCACTAGGAGGAGCAAGAGGAACCACAAATGATGTGTCTAATGTACTACTGTACATAAAAAGTTAAGTTACCCACTGTAGCCTAGATTTTGCCTCTAGATGGAGTCATAGCAGCATTGAATAAGAGCAATTTTTTAAGTTCATCAGCTAAAGATATGAAAGGAAAATAGTGTGGGCCTGAATACTGGATTCTGACCTAAATCCTCTGCAAACCTTCCAAAAATTTGCTGACAAGGACGGGGACCCACACACCATGACATACTTACTTGTTGTGGTGTAATTTATGAAATTTGTGCATCATCACAACCTTCCTGTAATGCTTCCTGGTCGTGCACACGTCCAAAGACAATTCCACCCTGTTCTATGATCAGTGAGAGTGATGCTGAGAACTTAACGACAACAAATGCTTAAAAATAAACCACCTACAAAATGTGTAAATACAAAATGTATTGTATGTCTGACAGTTGTGTATACAGTCAGTCTACATGTTTGCTAAGACTTTTCTCACAGTCTGCAGAAAGTCAGTTCAGACAGTTGCTCTTGTGCAACAGTCTGGACTAGAGCTGCTTCCCTGTGAAAGAGAAGAGTGTCAGCTGTTATGTGGAAGTCACAAAAAATACATTGTAACACACAATGAAATACATTTATTTTAATTTGATACATTAAACTTGTGCACATTGTGTGTCATTGCATGTTCAGGAGAACAATATCTGTGACAATGTCGGCTTTCATGCTTCCAATCTAACAATATAACTGCAGGTTATGACAGGAATGATGTCACTGATGTTGTTTGTATCATATTTAGAGGTGGAAGGAACAGAGAACATTGACGAAAGCACTATATTTAAAACAGGATTAAGTCATGTTTGAAGGAAGAGTTAAGTGTTTAAGTGTTTGTTGTTTTATAAGTGTTTGAATTCATGAGCAATAAAACAAATCATTGCTCATTAAATACACTCAGGAATTTTTCTGTTACAATCTTACTTGGTCTGTTATGACCAGTGGCTTATAGTGGCTAATGATTGCTGATGTCTGTTTTTATATTTGTATATATTGTCTCCTTTTATTGTCTCTAATTGTATCTTTATTTATATCTTTCTATGTTTAACTGTTATGCACCAACTTACCAAGGCAAATACCTTGTATGTGAAAACCTACTTGGCAATAAATCTGATTCTGACTCTTAAAAATTGTTAATAATATGTCCATTAACCTTTACATTTAGTTATGATAGAATCTAATAATATGCTGTCAGTTGTGTTTAGTATGCAGGTCCTCAGGAGCATCTGTTCAACCACCTGCAAAAGAAACATAAACTTATTGATACTGGAACCTCAAATCAAACCTTATTAATAGAAACAAGGGACAGGCCTTCAGCATAACTACTTTAATTTTCATATTAAGATTTTACATAAATACTCAACTATTAGTTTACAGAAATATAATGCATGCATGTAATGTATGTTATAAATGTAATTAGTTATTTAACTCCACTTTGACCAGCAATGATATTAAAATGGCACTTTTACTTAAAAGCAATATATAAATAATATAATAAACATTTTTATCCACCACTCAGTCAGTTAATGAGCATGAAAGGAGAATATCATTTAACAAAAACGTAGCTTTTTTATTCAAATGTGTATTTAATGTTTATTTTTACACACATCAGCTTCCCCAGGTGACACAGTGTCAGTTTGTAATATTATAGTTTGGCCACCAGAGGGCCCATTCTTCATTTATTTAAAGCCCAATTAGTGAAACAGCCCAAAGAGGTTTGTAAAGTCAGATGATTTCAGATCATGCATTTAAAATGTTGTTCGTGTAAAAGCACAAAAGTTTTAGCATCAGAAGAATATACTCAAAAGTACAGGATACTCTTTTTCCAGAATGGCCCTTTCAGTTTGTGTTCATCTATCACTTAACTACAGCAGCTGGTAAATGTGTATATATATTACTATATATACTGCTGGCTAGATTGTGAATTTCTACCCTGGGATCAAGAGCATCTGAATCTGGAAAGGAACTGTAAGCTAAAGTTATCACATTAAGTGCAGTAGAGTAAAAAGTATAATATTTACCTCTCAAATGGAGTAGAAGTATAAAGTAGCAGGAAATGGAAATCAAATAAAGTACAAGTACTTCAAAATTGTACAGTACTTAAGTTAGTTTCCACCACTGGCTTTACTGGATACATAAAATAAAAAGGAGAATTCAGTAATAAGAAAAATGAACAAATAAAATCATGAAAACAAAATACTGAGAACCTGCTGTCTATCACATTATATTTATCATTTATTTTTCAAAATGGAGGACGACAAATGTTAACAGTGAGCTTTGTTCATTTAGCCTAAATCCAATCACTTGTGTTGTTAGTCACAAAAGAGACTATTGATCTTTCTTTGTGATTTTATCTTTAGCTTGCAGTGTGGCCAAATGCTACTGACTGGCTTTCTTATACAGATTACATTGAGCCCCATTCATTGACTTCATCGTATTTTGCTGTAAGTCGTCCAGTTCTCTTCTCTGCTTGGAAAAAAAACGACCTACCTACCTCCGTATCCTCTTTCCTGTCATCACTCAACATTACAAAGTAAGTCTAACACATAGCTGAAGGGGCTGGTCTTGTCTTGCACAACACACACAACACACTATAGCATGATTAATCGATTATTAATCATAGTCGCATTTTTTCCTCTAGAGCCTATACTAATTAGATTTACTCTAGGTTATTTGTACACTATCTGACCAAATGTGTGTATTATAGGCCTGCTTCTACCGTTATTATTATAGCAGTGACATTATAAAGTGGCAGCCTTTGTTTGTTTATTTATTTACTTGTTTGACAAATTCAAAGAAATCTTATTATTGAAGCAGAAAATGGAAATCCAACCACTCCCAAACTTAATGATGAGTTTATCACTGTGCAGTTACCGCCCACCACCTCTACACTTACAGTCGTCAGGGTCCACTATTCATATCACAGCTTGACTCATAATGCACAGCAGCCAGGGCGGCGCCTCACTATAAAGTCTCTACCGCACTTATTCCCCGACCTCTGAACATTCCTACTTCTGCTCCGTCGACCACGTCCCAGTCCTGCACGGTAAGAACTAACGGTACTACTGCTCCTCAGCTCGTGTCTAACTTTGTCTGGGATTTTTCACAGACCATTTAACAGCCTGCAGGATACAACCGGTTGGGTGTGGAAGGATTTGTACTGGATTAATCCCTTTTTTATATATCTGTCAATTAAAGCTTTCCTGAAGTTTTTTTAAATATAGTTTATTTTATAAAAATGTAAAAAAAAAAATAAAAAAATGGCTGTGTTTTCTGTGCATCTTTTGAAGAATTATGCAGTGTGTGTATGTATTTATATGATTGTACTACGTGGTGCCTCTTTTGTCTAAGCTTTGAACTCTCTCACAAGTTTAACATAACTTTATTTAAGAATTATTTTAAGATGTATACATTTCGCTCATACAGTAAGCACTAGAAGACTACACCACCTCTCATGTTGTCCAGTTTATCACATTTTACTCCACTGGACAATCTCTCAGTTGAGTACATATATCCTATAGGTACTCTACAAAGGGTGTGGTTGGACTGTGGGCATGTACACACTTGTGCTCTCTCTTTTGTGTCCCCACTCATTAGCTGCATTGAATTCCACCATCTTGTGCCTTGACACATCTTTTCCCTCATTCAGTTGTGTTAAGTTTTCCACTCCCTCTGACACAAATAACAGAAAACCCCTGTTTTACCTCCCACTTCTCCTTTTTTTTTTTTTAAGTTTCAAATCTACAGCAACAGGGCACAGTGTGTTCAACATTGTCTGATTTGTTTTGTGATGGTTTTCCTTTTTGCTTACCTAACAACAGACTTTATCTCGCTTCTCATGAGTATTACTCATCAGTGGCAAGGGGCATTGGGGTAAAGAGTGCTGCTTCCCCTTCAACAGCTACACACTATCCCTTTACAGTGGAACTAACCTCTTTTGCAGGACAGATTTTATTTTACCCAAGACACTGAATACTTTCTCTACAAGCTTCTCTGATCATTGCTGATATGTCAATCCTGCATTTGTTTCATGCGAAGAAAGGCTACTGTTTACACTGAGAGGATCAGCTCCTTGGCTTTTGAACTCCCCATTCCCCTTCAAATCCTTAGATAAGGTCATCAGTAGAACATGTCTTGCACAAGAATCTTTTGATAAGTAAACATCAAGTATCACAGCCAGAGTCTTTTCCATTTTTGAAGTGGAAGCTGAACTGTATGCTATCAGTTATCAATGATCATATTCAACCAGTTCTTTTCTATCTTTTCTTCTATTTTTCAGTCTAAACACACTTCAGCAACCATGCCTTCAGAACTCGAGGGAGCCATGGAGTCACTTATCAAGGTGTTCCACCGTTACGCCTCTAAGGACGGCGTACTCTCCCGGCGAGAGCTCAGAGAGTTGATGGAGAACGAGCTGTCTAACTTCCTTAGGGTGAGATGAGACCGACATGTAAAGCGCAAAATCACAGTGTCTTAACCCTTATATATATATATATACCCTTCCTCACACCCCTTCTTTAATCCAGTCTCAGAAGGACCCTGCTGCTGTGGACAAAATCATGAAGGACCTGGACACCAACGGTGACGGCAGGGTGGACTTTGAAGAGTTTGTTTCTCTGGTTGTTGGACTTTCCATTGCCTGTGAGCAGTGCTATCAGATTCACATGAAGAAGACGGGAAAGAAGTAGAAGGCGACAGCGGTGGAGGCTATAAGAAACCAAAAAGCATTTCAATTTTTGTAAAGATATTTTTGTCCATTAAATACACAGACAAATTTCAAACCTTTTGTGTCCAGTGGTTATTGTATGTGTAAGTTATGTGTTTGCCTACATGTTATACATACATTATATATACATTTTCTTCCATTCAAATATAAAAACACCTATGCATCTTCAAGTTCTTACTTGCACAAATATTAAAAATGGAAGCACAAAGCCCAAATCATAGCACTTTCCAAGCCATTGGTTTGTATCATGTATCAATATCATGCCTTGGTGAAGCTCACTTCAGAGATCTCACAGTGTACTGACTCCCTTGGCAACTGTACGAGTGACATTAGGTGCGATGATGCAATTCCCACCTGTATTTTATGCTTCACTGGGTGTAAAAGGGCAGAAAAACCTCTCCCTCTCTGTTTGATAAATCCTGCTTATCACTGCTCTGAGGAATCTGCAGAATGTTCCAGGCATGAACACACCTCTCTGTGAAGCTGATGTAGCAACTCTCTAAATTGTGACGCACTCATAAACAGATAAATCAGGTGATAGGACGCTTCGTAACAGAATAAAGTTTGTTGCATTATAGTCGATTTGATTTAAAGACAGCCCTGAGTACTGTGAAAAAACTGAAGGCCTGAGTCACAGGGCACAGCAGATCAGTACACCACTGTTTTTTCACCAAATTCTTTTCATTGTGCTTCATGTCTGGTGAAAGTTGGACTGACCCCCCTCTTTCTGACTCTCCCCGAACAGAAGAGAGACTTATTTTGCTCTAAAATTAAGCCTCTCAGGCAGCACTTCTTCTCAGGCTATGTGCTGACAGGCTCTGCCAATCAAGTGTTTAAGTCATAAGATAGGATTTCTGTAATTTAAGGGTTTGGGCCACAGTTGCAGTCAGGGTCTGCCAATCCCAGTGAAGTAGGCAGAACTGCTTGAGGAAAGCCTGCCTGAAAGCTTAAAATCAGGGCAAAATAAGTCATATGAGCCTTGCACACACCTCCTTGGGCAGGGCTCAACACTGTGGCCTACCAATGTTCATGGTAACTAAACTAAACACTGAAGTTGCTAGGTTACAGTGCTCTGAGTGTGAATGTGTGTGTGTGTGTGTGTGTGTGTGTGTAGTTAGTCGTTTGTATTTGCCCCTCAGTTTACACAAGCACCACGCCCATGTGACCCACAGCAGAGTTTACAGCCGGGAATTCCTACTTTGTTGACTGTTTTCTCAATATCACTTTTGTGTAGTTTTTGTATGTACATTCTGGTAAAAGGAGATTCATACTTGCTGTAAGTTTATCATGTGGCCTAAAACAATACAATCATTGTCAAGATGAATAACTCTGTCCAAGCATGAAGCAGCAGACCAGATCTATGAGGTCAAAGATTATGCCGAAGATTATTTCCTTAGTAAGGAGGCTCACTGAGATCACAAACTTTGTCAGGACCTTTGTGAATTGGAACAATCCTAACAGTTTTGAGATTTCTCAATGGATTCTCAGTGAAGGTGTGTATGAGCAAACATTCACTAATGTATGCCACACCTTCTTTGGACACACACAGGCAGAACAGCCCCTCTCCGTGGACAGTTTCATTTGTTAAACAATAACACCAATGTTCTGAACCTGCCAACCCTTGCAACATCCGGTTTGTAGCTGTTGCCATGGGAAATTAAATCAGACTATTGTGATCCTGATGATGATGCAGTTTATAGATATGTGCAATTACTTCATGTTTGTCTTTGTTTGTTTCCTTTTCGCTGTCACTTAGATGTGAGGCAACGCTTTATTATATTCACAGTTTTCTACCCCACCATGCAACAGTAAAACAACCACAAACTGTTCCAGGCCAGAGTGGATGCCATCTTTGAAGGGTGGCTACAAGATCATACATTCCACAATTAAAAACATACACATGATGGTTATTTTATAAGGTAACTGTAGTGTTGTCAGACTCAGTTTCTCTTCCAGTACTTTATTGTTAGCAGTGTGAAAAATGTTGGTCTTGGTAGTGGCCAAGGGGTTAAAACCAGTTCCCAGTTCGCATGTGGTTCTCTCACTTCCTGTCATCATCAGTGCAGCCAAATAATATTTTTAAATAAATTTTTAACCTTTAACTTTTTGGATTGGGTGTGGGATGTATTGGGGAGACTCATGACCCCGCAGTAAAACTCCTGGTCATACAGACATGGATGGATGTTACATTTTAAAAATGCTGGGGCGTTTGTGGTTCACTTGATCTGCATCACGTTGTTTTCAGAAAGGAAGATGACTGCAAGGGAAAACTCTAGGAAAATATGCTTTCTTTTAAGTGTACTTCTGCTTGACCACTAGATGGCACAACGAGAGTATAACTGCAATCATAATGCTGGACATGAGTTTTTGATAAGTGACTAAAACCGCTTCAGCTGCACTGCAAATAGTTTAATATGAATCACAGCTGGATATAATACAGAATGTGGTTTCCATGGATACTCCCTCCCTAATTTGGTAGATGTGAGTGAGTAAAATGGAGAAGGAAGAGGACAGGAAAAAAGTTTGACTAATGTTTTCCAGACATTGAAAAAGATCTTAGATTGAGTTTGCATTATAAATTCAGTTGCAGAATACATGAATGTTGGTGACAATGACTTGACTTCTAACCTATGATCTGTACTTTACTGGACTTTGAATGAAGTTGTTAATTAGAGACTAAAACAATTATACACTGACCAGAGAGGAGAGACAGGAAAAGACCTTTGATATGGAACTCAAAGTCATACAACAGACCACACACGTATACAAACAAACATAGTTGCCACAGGGCTGATTTTCATGTCTCCGTTTTCTGGTCTCTGCAGTATGAGTCATGAGCTTCAGGGACATTTCTCTGACTCACAGCCTCCACCACAAAATTGCACGGAGGAAAGGACCTACTCTTGACCATAACAATCAACGCTCAGTGAGTCACTGTGCCCAACGTTTTAGTTTAAGAATCATGTGCATCTCCAACAAGTAAGTAAAAATAGAAAAAAAAGTCAATTATATGCAACAAACACCAGAAATTAGTTACTACAATATATAATTAAGGTGTCCTCTGACACACGCTTGGATAGAAAACAAAATCCACACTTAAATTAAAACTTTTCATTGCTTAAGTCTCTGATCTTTCCAGTCAGTAAGCTTTTCAAAAAGGAAACTGTAGCGGAGGTCTCGTCAAATGTGGTCTGTATCTGTAGAAAAATTTGAAAAATGGTCGAAATGCATTTGAGCTTTGTATCACAGGGACATACACAACATGACAAACCTGTAACCTCAAATAGAGTGAAGAAAGTGGGATTATGATTCAGCATGTGCAAAAATGTGTACTGATTGAGTTAGTTATTTTGAGGGGAAAACTACTTAAAACATCTCAAAACAGATCCAATTTGTCCCTTGCCCTCACCAGCAAGAGTCTTGGGAGATTTGTTTTTGCATGGGTCCAGGCTAAAATCACACAAACTGGATTTTTTTCTTTCTTTTTTTTGGTCAAAATAAATAATTAATCAAAGCTCTAAATGGAGCAGCTGTATGTGACTACAACATTACAAAAAGTCATTCAGTTCACCAGTCATTGCTGTATCCCTCCCCTCATCAACTTGCAAAACATCGTCTTCAATCTTCAATGAACACGAGAAATGCTAAATAAATACATTTTTGATTTTCAATTTCCTGAAAAGTTATTATACTGTTATACTACTGTACAAAAAACAAGTGAACTAACAGTTAAAAGTTTTAACTAAAACTAGGAAAATGGATCACATCACCATCATCTGCTAAATACTGCACTGGCTGCCTGCATCTTTTAGAATTGATTTTTAAAGTGATTTTACTAGTTTTTAAAGCTTTAAATGACGGCGATCTTTCTTTCATTCTATGTTCCACCCAGATCACTAAGGTCCTTCACCGCTTTCCTTTTAACTTACTTATGTGTCCCATAAAAGTACTATTGAGAGTGCCTTCTGGTTTCATGCCCCTAAACTGTGGGACTCACTGCCTTTGGATATTAGATTTTAGGGGCATATTAAATACTGGAGCTTTTTAATCTGACTTTTACTTTGGAGTAATGTTAGTTTTTATATTTAAATCTTTGTTTTTTATTATTTTTTTATTGT